GTTCCAATTTGTCCTCCATTTCAGCAACATAGTCTGTCATAACAGTCATAACTCCGATCATATCTTCCCTTGTTTGAGCAATCTTGACATCCAGTTTGTCATATAAGTCCGATAAAAGCTGTTTAATTTCCTGTCTAAACTCTTTAAGGGTTTCAAAAAGAAATTCTTGCGTTAAGAAATCTCCAGTAGAGGGCGTAGGAGGCAAGGGCAGCGATTTTGTAACAATTTCTTGAGATGTATTATTAAGGAAACGCTTAGACTGCTTCGATTTGGGAGCCATCATAAAAAAAAAACGCACAAACAAACAAGCAAGCAAACAAAGTCTCTGCTCCCCTCGGTTTTAAATGGGATACTATTTATAGACTTTTAACAGTTAATAAGGAGAAGTCTTCAGGAGAATAGAGCTGATTGAGTGCGTCATATATCAAACGCAGAAGCTATAAAATCGCCATCTTGTAACGCAGCTGGATAAGAAAGCCTTTTACAAAATTGAAGCTGGTATTTTGAATAGTAATTTAAAAAAAAAGTTTCTCAGGAATGGTCCCTTCTCGAATTAATCTTAAATAGCTTAACTTTGTCCTGAGGGGGGGGGGGCAACCTGCCTAGGGCTGAAAAGAAACAGCCGAGAAGAACTGGCTGGAGTAAAAAAAAAAAAGCTCAGCTATTGTTGAACCTCTTCTCCATTCACAGCGAAAAAAAGGGCTGTGAATTACAAAGAGATCCTAACGACTGAGCTACTCCCTGCCCCTTTCTGCCAAAAAGGGGAGATATCTATAGATCTTTTTAGATATACAGACCAGAACTCTGAGGGGAGCTCCGTTGAGCTCCCGACGGCGACAGACTCCTCCCCCGGAAGGAGATTTGTTTCATTGTTAACTTCCCCTATTGATAAAGAGAAGACACTACAACTTTTTTTTAAGTTCAAATAAAGTGAAAGTGAAGAAGAGAAATTAGTCCTTTTTGTTATTTACAGGGAAACAAAAAAGATTTTTTGGATGTAGTTTTAGAGTATGGAAAATGTTTTTAAGGGGTACTTTTTCTCCTTCAAAATTCCTAAAATGGAAAAAAAGGAGGGAACTTTTTGCTTTCCCATCCACCATTAAACCAATAAGCCTTGAATTCAGATATCAATGTCTGTGTTAAGCAGTAAAAAAACCACTAAGACATTGAAGGAGAACAGTAAAGTTACAAAGGTCATTCTCAGTGAGAAAAGGCCTGATTCCAGTCTTGCAAATGAGACCTCTGAAAGTACACATGTGCAAATGTTTTAATCCTTTAAAAAAAACATATATCAGAATTTTACTGAACATGACAAAGGAGGAGAGAATAGTTAATTTACATATTACATGCCAAGGAAGGATTTTCTCTCTAATAAACTGTTCAATTTTCTGTTTAGAAAAGATGAGACATTTTATATCTCTTTGAACAGCCTGTTTACTTGTTTTTCTGTAATACATGGTTGCTAAATCAGTGCTTAAATAGGAATCTGGCTTCATTAGCCAGATTAGAAATTAGAAATTATCAAAATAAACTGTTAAGGAACTTTCTAATGTGCTGAAAATCCAAAGCAATTTAGAAAGCAAAAAATAAATATTAATGCATGCTTACTTCTATAATTTCAGAAAAAATATGTTCATATAGTTTTATTTATATAGTTTATTACTCTGGTTCCAGATAGGGTGGCATAAAGCTTGCTTGCAAATGTAAAGCAACAAGGAAATTCTGAAATCACATCTGTAAATAATGAAAGGTATATCTCTATAAATGTGTTCAAATTCTTTTTCCACTTCCTTAAAAAGCAGGAACCATGTTCAAATTTTTTCTCTGTTATTGTTAAACCACTGCACTTGTCCTGGGATGTCATCAGAATTGGTGCAGCAGTTTTAGAATTGGATTTAATTTAGGAATGCATACTCTGAAAAAAGGAGACACAATCTGAACATGATATGCCATGTTATGGAGATGTCACATACAGTAAACAAGCATGTTTTCCATAGGCTTGGAATATTTGACATAAAGCATATAGGCAGATAATTCGTAGTTTGCATTCTCAGCAGCAAAGGCCTGCCTTTCTAATGTCCTTTTTCATTTTATTTTCTGAAAATTATGAAAAATTGAAGAGTTAGCTTTAGAAGAGCTGTGTTCTCTAGTAGGACGTTCATAGGCATTTCAGTTGATATTGTAAACCGAAGATCTTTTCCTGCCTCTATTTTCAATCATTGTTAATCATTTACATGAATAATTCAAGAGTTTGCTTTTAATAAATGCATTATAATTTCAACCTAAATTATATTTTATAGCTATATATTATTATTTATTTTGATGATGTTTCTTTTATTGGCCATTTATATGTTGAATCATTCTGTGGACTTTTTCATTTTTTAGGAAAACTTAATGTTAGTAGTGAGACAATTCAGCATGGAGTAGAGGGATTAACATACCTTCTGACTGAGAGCTCAAAACTCATGGTAAGTGGTTGCACAATGTGTTCTATTTAGAGAAATAAGCATATACTTCAGATTGTTTTGTGGGGGAGAATTAAGAATGTGTCACTCCTACGAAGGTGTGGTATTTCAGATGAAAGTTTAAACATTCCTCTGGTTTTGGTGCATTTACTATTTAGTTATTAATTTCTTCCACTTATTCAGGTTTCACTGACTTTAAGAGCACTTATTGATGATTATCTACATATTTTAAAATTTTTACATGCTGATTTCTACTGACCAATCTTATTTCATAGTGGGAAATGTAATCTTTGGAGCAAGAAATATATTTGGAACAAGAAAAAAATGTAATAAAAGCAACTGAAAATTTAAATGTTCTGCATTTTACTACTTTTTAGATATCTGAAATAGATTTTCAAGACTCAATACTTGTATTACAATTTCCTGAAGAATTGAATGCCTTATTACTTCAGCTCTATCTTGACAACAGAAAGGAGATCAGGAATATTCTGAGTGAACTAACACCAAAGCTTCCTAGTTATCATAATCTGGAGTGGAGACTAGATGTGCAGGTAAGATTACAAGAATTAGTAGAGATTTACTAATTCATATCAGCTTCAGTATGAACCAAATTTGTTTATTGGTTTCAAATTAGCAAATATTCATTCTTTCCAGAAGATAGAGGTAGCAGTATTATGAAATCATGCATTTTGTCATATAATTATTCACAGAATGATACAATAAAGTGAACTGTATTTATTCATTAGGATAATGCAATTTGCACCTTTAATCTATTCATATTAAAAAATACTATAAATTTCCATCATTCCCATCTTACTAGTGCGATAGTATATCCTGCTCTAGGCAAATTATTGGAATTTTATTCAAATTGCCTCTTATTTTGCAACAGAAAATTTGGAATAAATGTTGGCCATTTTAAATGGTAATGTAGTCAATTATTCAAAGTAGCTTCATGAAAGTGTAAAGAAAATTAAAGGGGCGATCATAAAAAGTTATGTACACAGTCTAGTTCAATAAAAATCACCTTAGCAGCCTATTCTTGAAATTAGAACTGTGGTAACATATTTAAACAATGTAAAGAATACATACCATAAATGTGTGCAGGGGTGTTTTGTGACGGAGAGATTATCCAATTGTCAGGCCCCATTGAAGTCTTTCCTATAAAGGTACCCTGTTTTCCTAAAAATAAGACTTCCCTGGATAATAAGCCTAATCGGGCTTTTGAGTGCATGCGCTAAAATAAGCCCACCTCCGAAAATAAGCCCTCCCCAAAATTATTGTAACACAGGAGCAGCCATGAGGTGACCGCACTTGCTACCTCCTGCACCTCAAAAATAATAAGACCTCCCCCGAAATAAGGCCAAATGCTTATTTTGGGGGTCAAAAGTTAATAAAACCCTGTCTTATTTTCAGGGAAACACGGTAGTGCAAGAGCTTCACATGGGAGCCAGTTTGGTGGTGTGGTTAAGGCATCAGGCCAGAAACCAGGACATTGTGAATTCTAGTCCCACTTTAGACATAAAAGCCAGCAAGATTACTTTGGGCCAGTCTTTCTCTTTTAGCCCATAATGTCAGGGCTGGCTTTTAGGAGACAATCTTATTTGTTGAATTTCTGTCATAATCAATAAATCAACACTTGATTGATCTGAAATAAAAAGTACCATAGAACCCGAACATGCATGGAAAACACTAGGCTTGAAAGAATACACACACACATACAGAAAAAAAATAAATTGAAACAAATGATATAATTCAAATTCAATGGATGTTTGGATTTAATAGGCATTCTCTCCACCCTAAGGGGTTATATTTGGACAACCATAACATTTGGATTATTTGACTTTTATAAAATAATTCAATTGCCTTTTTGTTAAATGGCAAAAATGTGTTAGATTCCAGAAAAAGGAATTGCAATATATTCTGGTTGCTTTAGTTATCCATGAAGTTTTAAAGCAATCAAATAAGTACAGTACTATTGTAATATCAAACAGTCACTAACCAAATGGTTGTAACTCAAGGACTATACAGAGGTAATCCTCAACTTACAACCATTTATTTAGCCATTGTTACCATGGCTTTGAAAAATCTGACATAGCCAGTCTTCGCATTATGATCATTGCAGCATCGCCACTGTTATGTAATCAACATTTGGGGGCTTGACAATCCGTCAGCAGGTTGCAGCATCCCAGGATTGTGCGATTGCCATTTGTGATCTTCCCAGCTGGCTTCTGACAAGCTACATCAATGTGGGAAGCTGGATTGTCTTAACAAATATGGTAAAAGAGAATCTGAAATCAGGTGTGAGTCACTTAATTCCCTTGCTTAGCAATGGAAATTCTGTTTCCAATTGTCCTGTCAGGACTACCTGTAATAAAGCAATGGAAAAAAAAACTTAGTCTACAGATGTGCAAAAACCCTACTTTACATTTGCCTTCTTGAGCATGCAATATTGTACACAAATGAATGCCCCAGATATTATTTTGTTCTGGTTTAAATTTTCAAACTGCAGTGAATGGGTATCAGTAAAACATGAATGGTCAGTAATCATGAAGAAACAGGTATTTACTGTAACAAGGTTACATTTTTGTAAACATTTGTTTTATGACTGCTATGAATATGGCTGCTCTTAATTCATCCTTATATTTATCATTTTTTCCCATCTCATAATTTAAATAGCTTGCCAGCAGAAGTCTGAGACAACAAATTAAGCCAGCTGTAACTTTGAAGCTACACCTTAATGAGAATGAAAATCAAACGACAAAGATACTACAAACTGATCCTGCCACATTGCTCCATTTAATTCAACAAATGGAGCAAGCATTGGGGGAAATGAAAACAAATCATTGCAGACGAATAGTGCGCAACATCAAATAGTATTTTCATTACAGTAAATCTGCATAATTATAGGAAGCAGTGCATCTGGACCTGTCAGAGCAGTATTCCAAGAACATAAAACAATGTTTACTAGTTGAAGTTGATTGGGTGCTATGTTGATAATGTTGCCGGATGCAAGTTAGAATAACTGTCATAAACTTTAATCATGCATAAATATTGATTATGTGAGCTTTTTCTGTTCTATGTATAACATACAAAGGCTTTTGACCATTTTTTTTCTTTTTCCAATCTTTAAGAATAAAACATACATATTAACATTGTATATGTTTTTGGACTTCAGACTTGTTTCTTACAGTTACTGTATTATTTTCTTCAGCAAATTAATGTTTTATCATGCTGTAAATGTCAACTGATATTATGTAAAAAGCAATATTACAATCATGCATTCTAAAAATTGCTTCATTAAAACAAAAAGGTTCACGCAAGTTACTTTTGTTTGTATATTCACATGTGCATAATTTGGGCAGTTGGGCTTACAGAAGAAAAAAGTATAAATCAGAGCAAATAATGAATCCTTTAAAAATGATTGTTGTCACAAATGTGTATACTTTATTTTAGTGGAAATTGTCACTAGTTTCACAAATGTGTATACATTATTTTAGTGGAAATTGTCACTAGTTTGTATTTATTTTAAATATTCGGAATGAAAAAGTCCCAGGTACCCAAAGTCTGTCTTCTCCAGATACAGGAGAAAAATTAATCAAGGGGTCTTGGGCTGAGAGTTTGGGAAATACTGGACGGGCTTGTATTAAACAGATTAATAGTCTGATTTGGGTATTGAATATGATGGCTGATTTTAGGGTTTAAGATGGGAGAAAACATTTCTGTCCTAAGAATGTACAAGGCTTGTCCCTCATTATGTAATATGTCCAGTCTGTTTCCCAAGCTGCTCACTGTCTTTCCAGGTTATAATCTTCATCTTAACTAGCATGACTCTTCAGTGAAAACTTGTTTAAAAAATTAACTTGGTTAAGACAGGACAGCAATATAACCATAGGTTCATTTACTTAAAATTATACCCCCCTCATACTCAAAAGAGTTATTTCTATGGAAGTCTGTTAGGGTTGCAATCCTAAAAATTCCAGTTGAATATTCCTGAACCAGGTAAATTATAAAATTAAAATAATTGCATATTTGTTTTTATTTGGCAGGTGGTTTCCTTCTACTGTAATTGTACTGACCATCCTATTAGACATCTAACCTATCACAATTTTAAAAAATCAATTCCATTTGCTCCGCATGTTAAGTTTTAAGCTTCATTAGGGTTTTTTATGGTTTGACCTTACTCATCTGGTAAGTATCATGGCTGAGCAGATATTTAAATCTGATTCTAATTTAGGTTTAACTACTGTGAGTGCTGAATAAATAGTATTTTAATTGCTATGTTCCCATTGGCTCTCATTTATCAGAGTTTGTTTAAATATAATTTTGATGAAACATAAAGTCTCAAGTGAATATTAAAGTACATATGATGGCAGAGGTGCTCTCTTGTAAGGACTGAAATGCAGTTTCTAGAATGCAACCAAAGGCTCATTGATGTCTCAGTTTAATGTGTCTTGTAAGGTGTTGCTGAGATTTTTATTCAGATGTGTCACCTGTAAGAAAAGGTGGCTGGGGAACTCTGAATATGTTGGCAAATCTCTGGCTCTGTAGTTATTTTGTTCAAGTTCCCATTGACCATGTAAGCATGGCCAGCGGAAGTTTAATATTTAAGATTTTTCACTAAGCTAAATCTACCAACTAGGGATATTTCTTTAATTGGATTCACCCATTATGTCAATTATGGTTGGTTTGCTTTGTATTTATACGTGGCATGAATCTGCTATGTTAGTTTTATTTTGTGCCTGCTCCGACACATGGATCATACTAACCCAGTAACCGCTATGCTGCTTTACTCAGGTTGGGAGCAAGATGCAGATAAAGTGGAAATTTGGAGTGCGTAGAATAGAATAGAATTCTTTATTGGCCAAGTGTGATTGGACACACAAGGAACTTGTCTTTGGTGCATATGCTCTCAGTGTACATAAAGAGACTAAAAATACATTCCTCAAGAATAAAAAGATACAGCCCCTGGTGATAGTCAAGGTTACTAATAAGCTATAACATCGTACTAAGAAACAATAAAAACAATATAAATTGAAAGATACAAGCAACATGGTTATAGTCATAAGTGTGGAGAGATAGATACTAGGAAGGAAGAGAAGAAGAATATAGTACATTCTTGGTAAATTATTGACAGTGTTGTGAGAATTGTTAAGCAGAGTGATGGCATTCAGGGGAAAAACTGTTTTTGTGTCTTGTTCTGATATGCAGTGCTCTATAGTTTTGAGGGTAGGAGTTGAAACAATTTATGTCCAGGATGTGAGGGGTCTGTAGATATGTAGAGTAGTGGACATAGTGGGACTAGGGCTTTGGGAATATGTCTCCTTACAGCTTGGCTGTGCAATACAATCAAGTTCCCTTCTCCCCAATTGAAAACAAGTATAAAAGCGGATTTGGCATCCACAAGAGCCAATCTAAGTGGAATATCTAGACAGTTGGCTGTCTCCGTCCTAAATCCGTTGCATCCTGGCTCTGGATTACTTCTTAGCTAAAGTTCCAAAAGGAGCAGCTGAAGGAAGCCCTGGCACGCGTTTTGCCGGATTTGTTAGTCATAACCCTACTTGATTTCCGTCCGAGATTCCCGTAAACTCCCTCAGCCAACCCCCAGGAGGCTCCTGTTTCCCAGTTGAGAGCAGGGTCCGGCTCTCCAAAAAACGAGCTGTGGGAGGGAGAACTGGCAAGTGGGTGTACCGTGTAATCGGACTGGTCCCAGACGCTGAGCTCATGAATAATGCAGCTGCCAAACTTTCTGCGCCGCCCTAACTCTGAGAGTTTTGGGTAAGTTTGTTTAGTATAGTCGATCGCGGCGGCGGCGCCACCGTGGAAGCGCTCAGCCCTTCAAGATCTACAGGATGGGTATGTAAGAAAAGAAAAGGGACCGACTACCCTCCGTCCCGCAAAAGTCGCTCCTTCCTTCGCCCATCTTTTAAGACAAGAGAAATAATGGTAGAAAGTGACTGAGCCGGGCCGCCCTCTGCACGCGCGAGGCGGGGGGGGACGAAGAGAACGCCAGGCCTGGAGCAGAGCGCGGCTGAGATTTCAGGGGAACGTTCCAAACCCGAACGTTCGCTTCTCAGTGTTCTAAGCCACACCGGTCCCTCCCCGCGGGATCCCCCGTCGCTTCGAGTCCCAGGCCCTCTTCTGAATTCCTCCCTGCCTTTCGTGACAGCCGCGGGAGAAGATCTTTCTCTCTCTCTCTCTCCCCCTCTCCTTAGTCCTTTAAAGGAGCTGTTTTCTTTAGGGGGAGTTGTAGCAGATCTCCCAAATTCTGAGGGGGGGGAGGGGAGTTGCATAACTTTCCTTCGGGGCTTGACTTGGATTTGCTTCAACTGTTCTTGGAGATCCTGCGAGATAAAGAGACACTTTGGGGAGGGAGAGGATAACCGCCTTGCATTTTCTGCTTGAGGCCTTTTTCGCAAACGAGCGGAGTAGGGGGAGAAAGGTCGAGAGAGTTTTGCTTCGGAAACTTAATTCGCCGCAGACCGATTCCAGCTACAGGAATCTTGTCTCGGTCGGAGCAAAGGAGACTAGAACGCCTGCAAGACAACTTTAGAAGGAGGAATCCTGGCCTGCCGGCTCTGATTAACTCCTGCTTCTGGCCCCCACCCACCCCCTGCCTCTCCCTCTCTGCGAGGTCCCGCGGCAAACTTTTCTGGCTCGAGGTAAGAAGAAATGAATCCTGCTGCCGTCCCTCCCCCGCCGGGACAGCAAGTGATCCATGTCACCCAGGATCTGGACACTGACTTAGAGGCTCTCTTCAACTCGGTCATGAACCCCAAGCCCAGCTCGTGGAGGAAAAAGATCCTGCCCGAATCTTTTTTTAAGGAGCCCGATTCGGGATCTCATTCCCGCCAATCGAGCACCGACTCGGGAAGCCACCCTCCCCGGCTTAGCAGCGGTGCCGTCGGGGTCCACCACGTCCGCTCTCACTCTTCGCCAGCTTCCCTGCAGCTGGGCACCGGGGCGGGAGCCACCCCGACTCCGGCTCAACAGCATGCCCACCTCCGCCAGCAGTCCTACGACGTGACGGATGAGCTGCCGCTTCCTCCCGGCTGGGAGATGGCGCTCACGCACACGGGTCAGAGATACTTCCTCAAGTAAGTAAGAGTGTACGGTCGAGGGGCGGGCCAGGTGCTAACCTGCCGGTCGGTGCATAACAAAAGGTTGAGAGTAATTATTGAGTCTGGGAAGGGAAAGAGGCCCGGAGGCGACTCCAGGTAGGCCTAGTTGGCACGCAAACTTGGAAAGCAGAGGTGCCCTCCCCGCACATTTGAAAGAAGGCCATTTCCTTTTAATTGCAAAAACTTTCCTGCTGAAAGTTGGGTAAGTGGCAGTCTCTAGAAAACTTGGAGATCTGGAATCTGAGGATCCGGCCTCATTAGTATTTGGATGGGAGACCACAAGAAAATCCTGGGACTGTAGACCAGATTTGGAAGATTGGACAAAATCCAATGGTGGGATTCAAATAATTTAACAACCGGTTCTCTGCCCTAATGATTTCTTCCAACCATCAGTTCACCAAACCTCTTAGAAAGTTTACAACCGGTTCTCCTGAAATGGTGCGAACTGGCTGAATCCCACCACTGGACAAAACCACTGTGAAGTATTTTCTAAGAACAGTTCAGAGGCTGTCCCTGAAATAAGCAAAGGTCAATTTTCTCAATGATGAAAGTGCTTTGCCAAGGAAGTTGAAAGAATCCCATTTTCAATTGTGTTAGAGTGTACTTGTAACTCTTCTTTTCACAGCGGACAGAATAGTATTATTAGGTACCTTTATTGCGTCTAATAAATTGTACAGACATTTCAAGGAATGCCTTGCAAAACGCATTTTGGATGGCATGATGTGGCTCACTATAAAGAAAGATTTTGTATATGCTCAGAGGAACTTTTTCACTCCATTGTTGGGTTTTCATAACCAAATTGCACAAATTATCAACCTTGAGAAGTTTTAAATGTTGTTAGATATTTTTATGCTTAATGCATTGTGTGAATTAAGGCTGTTGGATTAGTTAACTATTCAATACATTGAACAAAAATGGGTTAATTCAGTTTCAAGGCTATTGTTGAACACAGCCTATGTGTATTTTACCTTTCTTTCAAAGGTTAGTGTTCAGAGTCAAGTATTCATTTTTTTTACTTTTTATTATGATTATATCTTACCTTTTCTCTAAGAAGTACAAGATGGTGTTCATAAGATCACCTTTCATTTTATCCTTCCAATATTAACCTATGAGAGATGCTCAGTTGTCATAAAATAACTGACCACAATCTCCACTAGGTCCCTGGTTGGGACGGACTTGAACAGGGGCATTCAAGTTCACTGTTTACACTGACTTTCCAATTCACCAGACCATCCTAACCCCTCCTTAGTGTCCAGCTAACAACCAAAGTCAGTGGCCTGATTCATATTTCATTCTAAGCCATATCTTTCAAATTACCTTGGAATGGTTTGTATGGATTTTTCTAAGTCAAAACCAAATTCTCTTATGGTTCAGTATGTAAACAAATCTAGGTGTCTTTGTATTTTTGTGAGAACCAGAAAAGGACAGTTTTGCAAATACATGCTATTCTCAGTCAAGCCAGGAGACCTGGATGGTGTCAGCAGTGACACAGTTGACCCATTGCAGCTCTTTATATGGTTCTTCAGAAATGTCTACAATGCATTTTGTTCTTGCTTTTTCCTGTCCTAACTACCTCAAAAGTCAGAGGATTGGAACAAGATGTTACTACATGAATGATGCATGCTTGGAGGGAGTTGTGTCAGGGAAAATTGGTTCTGGAGCTAAAATCTGATGAGTGTAAGGTGAGGGCTAATTAAGAACTGCCTCCCTAGTACACAGGAATTTAATAATGTTAGCAAATGTCAATTAAAAAAACTATTGTCTATGGTTGGATTTAGTTTGTAACTAATTTAGAACTATTTTCCATGGTAGAATTTAGTCATGTCCTCAAACAAGGAGTCCAGAAGATGGAAGAAATAATAAATAATAATAAATGAATGTATGTGAAGTGACAGAATTATTTGGAAAATAGAATAGTGGCATTTGTGGATAAGGATGAATTCTAAAATATGTTTCTCTGAAAAAACTAGAGAAATGATCAAAGTCAACCTTTGGGGCCCCTTACATCAAAAGGAACTTTAGCAAAACCTTTCCACTGGGAAAGGAGGGAGGAAAAACAAATTTTTGTTGGGCAATGTTTTGTTTTCACAGCTTGTAAAGACGTGTAAGTTGCTTTATACGTTCAAATACTGTGGATACATCTGGACACATTTTACTGACAGCATCAATAGGATGTATATGGTGAAAGGGGTCTAGAAAGATTAAAAAAACTAAATGAGGATGGCAGGACTCAGAAAAAAATAAGACATGGAATCTGACCCCTTCTCAATGCAGGAATCCAAATTAAAGCACTCTTGATGGATTGGGTGTCTATAGGTAGTTCCTGATTTGCAACTGTCTGTTTAATAAACAGTTCAAAGTTACAACAGTCTCAGAAAAAGTGACTTACGTCTCATCCCCAAACTTAGACTTTTGCACCACTTCTGCTATCGTGTTATTGGAATTTGAGTGGTTAGCACCTGACTTTCATTTATGACCGTTGCAGCTTTTTGTGGTTACATGATTGCAATTTGTGACCTTCCCAAATGGCTCCTGCAAGCAAAGTAAATTGAGGAAGCTAGATTCGCTTAACGACCATGTGATTCTGTTAACGACTGTGGTAAAACGGTTATAAAATCGGACCCATTCATGGGATGACTTGCTTAATGACTGCATCATTTAGTGACTGAAATTCCAGACTCAGTTCATAAGTTGAAGATTACCTCTATGTATTGTACATCCAGTGAAGGGCCCTTTCTCCTTCTCTTGGTAATATGGTGTAATCAAATTTACTCCTTATTTAGCAAATAAGGGCTGTATAAATGGTCTTAGGGTGCAATGCATGTAGTGGGACACCATGACCCGACAAATGTGCGCCCGACAACAGCACGCCCAGCAAAACCGTGGTGATAAAACCGCGACATCGACAGTGCGCCCACAAAAGAGCGCTGACAGAAGCGTGATTACGGTCAAGGTAAGGGTTAGGGTAAGGGTTAGGTTTAGGGTTAGGTTTAGAGCGCGCTTCTGTCGGCGCGCTGTTGTCGGCACGCTTCTGCGCTCATTCGTCGGTGCGATTTCGAACTCACGTTTTTTTCCCAGCGGTTTTGTCGCCGCGCTTTTGTCGAGCGTGCATTTGTCGGTGAACTGTGGGACACTTGCCTGTAGAGCAGGGGTATCAAACTCACGGCATCACGGCATCATGTGACGTACCACAACCTTTTCCCCTTCACTAAACCGGGCATGGGCGTGGCCAGCACGTGATGTATCCAGCCTGTGGGCCACATATTTCACAGCCCTGCTTTAGAGGTTTTTCGATATTCCCCTTAAAAAGTATTTTCCTGGAGGGCAGAATTGTAGGAATTGAAGTCCATACATCTTAAAATTGCTGAGATTGAGAAATATTGCTGGTGTAGATTTCTTGCAATCCGAAAATGTGATTTTTGCTTTTCCACAGAATTTTCCTGTGCCTCCATCTTTCCCTTTCTCCTGGTAAGGTAGAATTACTCTGTGCTTAAGCACTCATATGCTGGCCCTAGAAATTGTAGCTGAAGTCACAGATTGACTTGTATGCTACAAATTGCCAAAGTATCTATATCCTGCTCTATCAAAACTGGCAATCTATTGAAGATTTCATCTAAAGTTGTTTGAATGGGCCTGTAATGGTACAATAAGTATATAATATAGATCTAGGATTTTCTGTTTTCTATTAGATAGGGTGGAGGAGGAGTCTTTTCTTTTAACTCACTTGAAGCACATTTTAGGGTGTTTGCCACATTTTCAGTAAGATTTTAAATTCAAAAAGGCAGCCAAGTGCTTTTTTGGGGGGGGAGGGGGAATAGTGCTAGAGAAATTTAGAGGTATAAAAAAGTTTAGGGAAAGTTGTGTGGTAATGCGGAACATATTTGGCCTTTTAAAATATGCATATTTTCTCAATAAAAAGATCATCAGTCCCCATCTTTTATTTATTTCAAATAAATAAAAACACAATTAGCAAACCCTACCAGAGACCTTATAGTTAGGGTAGATCAGGGAGTTTGGACCTTTTTGGACCTCGGAGAGCATGTGGAAAAAGTTGTAGGGACTCTTGTGTAATGATAGTGAATGTTCCCGTTCCAAAGCTTTCGGTATCCAAGGAGACAATTGGGAGAAATAAAATCATAGCAGCCTAAATTCAAGGAAACAGATGGCTCTGATTTTAAAAATCCAACTCACACTCACCTATTGATCTCTTCCAGGATAGAAAAAAAAATGTCTTGAGAGATAAGAATAGAATATAAAGCAGGAGTGAGATTTGGGCTTCAAATTGTAAATGATCTATTTTCAAAGGAGAAAAAAATTCAAAAACTGCAGGCTAAAGTTTAAAAAAGCACCCTAGAGTTTGAGAATGGCAATCCACTTTGATTCTGGCATCAGGAAGATGAGAGCATGCTGGCAAAAAAATTGTGGCACCTTAAAAACCTAATTTCATTTATTATTGTAGGACTTAGCAAATGTATGATTAATGAGAAAGTTGGGAAATTTGTTATTTTTCAAGATTTGGGGCTATTTTTAAATCATATTCCTTGAATATTATATATGGGGGGGAGGGTTATGGGTGCCATGATGTTGCTAACCCTTATATTAATGCCTGTGTAGAATCATTCCTCTAGATCAGTGGTTCTCAACCTTCTCAATGCCGCGACCTTTCAATACAGTTCCACATGTTGTGGTGACCCTCAACCATAAAATTGGTGTCTCGGTTCCTAAGACCATTAAAAATAGGTGTTTTCCGATGGTCTTAGGCGACCCCTGTGAAAGGGTCGTTTGACCTCCAAAGGGGTCCCAATCCACAGGTTGAGGACCACTGCTCTAGATGAAATGAGTTATCATGTGTAATTAGGACAGAAATGTATACATAGGTGCAGAAAAAGATAATGTAAGCTCTGGACCTAAGCATCATTAAAATCTACAGGTAGTCCTTGATTTACGACCACAATTGAGCCCAAAATGTGTGTAGC